TTTGACGCCGAAGCCAATAGTTTACCAACGGTGCCACCGAGTTCGTTCTCACATAAATAAAAAAAAATGTTTTCTGGAAACCCAATAAAATCCGTAAAATCATGTGAACACAGGCCTTAGAACGCCACAACAAACGACACTTTGCCATTCGCATCCACCCCGGTAAAATCAATTTCATTAAATAACGACGAAGCACTGTTAGGCAGTAAACTAGGCATTTCAATTAAGGTAGCTTTGCCTTCCCGTCTCAAGCATGCATTAATCTCAAAAGCATGGAAACTCACCTAAAATATTTTAGTTGTCTTACCAAATCGAAAAAATAATTCGCACTGTGAATCATAGTGTGTTGTACTGTTTTAAAAATACATTATTTAAAAAAAAAACTATTGGCTTTCCTTGACTTTTGGCTAAGATACATTTATGGACAGGCCGCTCTTGCCATGTGCTCAGGGTACCAAGGTCAATGTGGCCTCCTGGTCCCTGCAATATCTCCAACCGAAATAACCAATACCAATATTAATAGAAAAATGTATTACGGTTATAACACAATAATTATAATTAAATGAATTATTTTTCTGACCAGGTATTTTAATAATTTCTGCTCGTAAATTATATTATGTTTTTTGTCGATTTAACTGCGTATTAATCGTTATCTTTACATACAGGTGGTCATGCTCATGACTGAATCATGTGACGTTTTACCGCATCGTACACGAGGCGTAAAATGTTTATTAAAGATGTTTGTTAGTGTTAGTCACTGTTAGACAAATCTGCACAGCCGTGATAGGCTTCTGATTCAAGATACTCGAACAACGTGAGTTCGATCCCCGGTACCAGCACCAATGAAATTGTGAATTTTGTAGTGGTGTCTAATCACGTGTTCTGCTGTGAAGGAAAATATCGTGAGGAAACCTGAACATAACACCCTCTGAACAGAGGAGCTCTTTGGTCAGCAGTGGGACCTGTATAGATAAATCTAAGAAAAATTATGTAAAGTACGAGTTTGTCTATTTTCTTATTGTTTTTTTTTCTGATAGTTCATTGATAGGTATCGCAATAGCTTTGGCATTATGCCGGCACCATTATTTTATGCGTAAAGGTTAAATAAGTATAAACAAATATTCCATTGGTGGACAAAGAGCTCCTGGTTACGGCATTACACGGAATGTTATTAGGGCATACGCGGAAACATTCAAGGTTTGACGGACTCTACATATCTTTAAAATATTTGTTTTATCCTGAAAAATGCAATATGCACCTTCTGATCTGCTGACGATGTTCTCTGAACCGAAGATCGCCAGAATCCTGATCTGCTATGGCTGAAAGACGATATTTAAAATATTAAAATATACTAACGTAGAAGATGTGGCTGCCGTGCCTAATTTTCATTCTCAGTTTTATGCACTTGACCATTCATTTGCTTCAGTTGCTTCAATTACATTTGCTAAATCATCGTGCATTTACCGTAGAGTAATTGAAATGTTCTTTTGGGAACACGGAAGTAAATAACGTGTCAATCCAATTTACAGAGCTACGACGATATCGGCACAACGTAACATGTTTGTCACCTGTCCCTAGGTGGGAATTATGTAGTGTTCGTATTCAGTAAAACGGTGACCACCCTCAGTATGTCTGGAGTAGCTCGGGGATCTGCTACGGAACCCAAAAGAACCCGTTTCGCCGAATCATGTTCGTCGCTGCCTGTTGTTATTCATTCTGCATTCAGTTTTCTTTTAGTTGCTTTTTACGACAGGCGAGTACTTTAACCATATCCTTGAGCCTGAGACTAAGGGGCTGATCGGTGGAGATTCTAATTATGTAAAGGTTAGGGGACTGCCTGTTTAATCAAAACAGTAAGCTCAAAATAAGCGTATGTGGCGGAGCCACGCAGCCACCTCTGTTTGTGCACGATTAGGCTCGTCCTGGGAAGTTCTAGAGCCCTCCAGAAGACCGGCTTTAAGTGTAAATATAAAGATATTGGCGTCCTGTGAATGAGGTAGCCGTGGTCCACTTTTTTAAAGGTTGACAATGCTATCCCAAAATAGTTGTACGTACAACATATCAATGGGTGGGGTCGGAATAACTTATCATCAGGTGAAACTGCTCGCTTGCTAACCGTTTACATAATAGGAAGAAACTACGGAAAAGTAATCATTGATCGAAATCCCATGCAACTCCAAACGTCACAGTTGTCAAACCTTTTCTCGCTGCGTTCAGACAATCAAAGCGGTCATTGTCTCAACGCGCGATCGCATTCCTCCGCCCCGCTTTGCCTATTGACACTGTAACATTTATAGGAGAGTGTTGATGATGGGATTATTTAATAAAAGATTTATTAGCGGTTAAGAATTTGTATTTATCCCTTCAATTTAAAGTTACAATCCCTGGACTAGCTCAGATACAATATATTTTATAATATAATAATAATAATAAGTTGGGCGCCTTGTCTGTTAGGAACGGACTGTTGTAATAATCACAATTAAGTATCTCAGGGAGTCGCGAGTACATAGGACCTACACATTACTTTGTGCGACCATAAAAGGTTAAATAAATTAAATTAATTTGAGATGGTAAAACTTATGCAATTCAATTTAAAAAACAAAGTCCAATCAGGTAGTTATTTAAAATCTATGTCACCGCAGAGACATCTGCCCTGTGTGCACAGGTCAGCGTTGAGCTCAGAACCAGTAGAGAAAGTCAGGCCAAGTGTAGTGTGTACAGCCACACTGTTGGGGGGTATGTAGGAGACCTCCTGCCAACAAACATTAAATTGTAGAACTAGCAAAGGCAGGAATTTGAATCCACCTACAATTATAAGATGTGAAACACTTACCAACTGGAGGTAAAAAAACAATATTTAATTGAGCAGCAGCTCAGACCAGCTTGCCAGCCACCTATGCCTTCAGCATCCACCTGTGATATTCGAAAAAAACCATACTTAGAAACACGAGACAATAAATTCTCAACCTACCTTCATGTGAGATTTCTAAATACATTCACAATGCAAGTCTTTTACAATTTTAATAGGAAACCAGTGAAAATAACAGAGGATCTTACCACGAGGGATAACAAATCCAGCACAGAGTTTTCCCAGTAATACGACCAGGAACGTGTTCTGATTTCAACCTCTAGCTATGCACTGTCGTAAACAATGAACAAAACCAAGGTCGAAGATAATGGATCCACAAAAACTATTTATCCAATGTCAATTCGAACCGGCGGCAATCTCAAATGACAAGTACGACCAAATGAAGTTAACTTTTACATTCGTCCTTTCGAACAGGCAAAGGTTCATATGACATGCAGCCTAGTCTTTAGAAAAACGACAATTTAGACAAAGTGATGAAATCACACGTTACAACACGAGGCGTCGTGTAAATTGTTCTCAATTACGCGGCTATTTGACACCTGACCCACCGCCACGAGTGTCTACTACGCAGTTTAAGCGAAGTCAATGTTTGGTATAAAATTACAAACATATTATTGAGATGTATGACGTGCATAGGTCGGTGTGTCTTGCTCGACACTAGAGATGCCGAAAAAATATTGATATATCGATACTACCGATACTTTTGGGCGATATATTTTGATTGGATACATAGATATATCGATATAAAATGTCTGTATGTATAAAACGTGCCTTGTCGACCGCACCTAGTTTGGGATAAGGGCAGGAGAAAGAAGAAGGTAGAATTTATTAATTAATAAAATAACTCGTCCGGGTAAGTACCACGACCTCACAGAAGACCGGCGTGAAGTGGATGCATAATACTTTCCCGTGTCGTCTGGTGAGTGAGGTAGCCGGAGCCCCTATTTTCAAAAGATTTTCAACGCATCTGCAACCCTCGGGTGTAGCAGATGTCCATGGGCGGCGGTATCCACTTCACATTAGGTGAACCGCCTGCTCGCTTGGCAACGTTTCACATAAAAAAAATACCCAACCGCAGCCAGCCGCGATATTTATCAATCGAAAGCCGAGCCATCATTATTCGAACCTGAAACCGCCAAGACGCTCTTCTCATTAGCAACGACACAAGACACCTCACGTTGTCATTACACGCGATTCCAGCGAAAAGTTTTATAAACAGGGCATTGTGCGGCCGTAAGGATTTTATAACTCGAGGCCTTTTATAACTCGATCAATTTTGGGGAAGGGTCACAATTAGACCTCCTTCGTGCCTAGCTTCTAGCTTGTCTAGCTTGTCCTACTTTCCCGCTTGGTAAGGTTATTAATATATGTATTGTATAGGCAATTACTTATCAAGCGAAAAAGATATTTCATTGAAATAAAATTAAGGTTTTTTTTATTATAAATTCAATTATAGATGGTCTGAAGAAAATTGCAAGCTTTTATGGTGGAGATACTTTATATTATTACTCAAGTCTGTCATTCTTCAGTATGTCGATGATTTTAACTGGTATTATATGATGAAATTTACCTCTTCTGAATCTGATCAGTATTTATGTAACATAAATTGTGACATAGGAAATGTATCCGTAGGAAACCACGAACCAAGTAATCAATGAAGTGGGATCATCATCTTGATTAAATGTCTGTGTAATCCAATGTCATTTAGTTAAGTGTAGGTATCGTGCCATTCTATCGTCAAAGTCGTGCTATTAACTATATTGAAATCAATCCCAAATTAACTATTTCAATACAGCGCCAACGATAGGTAACAAGACCCCTGAACATTTGAATGGCTATAGAGGTTGAAAGGGCCAAGAGGCGGGTTCACTACCCACTTTTCGTCTTTGCGTCCACGTGTTCCCGTGTCCCCGATGCGACAGAGAAAGGTGCAAAGTGGGTTTTTTAGTGGGTACCCGTTTTTTACGGGACTCCCACATATCCCTGCCACTTCCCCCATCCAGTGGCAGGGGATCCGTAAAGGATTTTTCCCACGGTTCACTACCCACCACGGTAATCGGGTCGTCAAGGCAAAAATGTATACGTAATGAAATTAGTTATTCAAGCGTCGATTGTTTCAGAGTCGAACCGGATGTGGGCAAGCGCGTCCTTCGTGGGCGTGCTCATCGTGATCGGGCTCCCGCTGTGGTGGAAGACCACGGAGGTGTACAGGTACAGTCTATTCGCCAGTAGCCCACTGCTTAGTCTATGCCCGGTCGCTTCTGCTAAGTAATTACCGCCGCCCATGGACATCTGCTACACCCGAGGGTTCCAGATGCATTGACAACCATTTGAAAATTGGGCTCCGGCCACCTCACTCACCGGACGAAACGCGAAAGTATTGTACTTCCACTTTACGGCGGTCTTCTGTGAGGTCGTGGTTGGTACATACCCGGACGAGCCTGCCCATTCGTGCAACAGCCGAGGCTGCTGCGTGGCCCTACCACCGTTAACGAACAGTGATAGGGTAGGTACGAAAGTAACAATAAACCGGCCAATTACGTGTTGGACTAGCGGACGAAGGGTTCGGTTTAAGATACAACTATCTAAAAAAACTGCAAACAAATCCGTACGGGAGCCCCACTTAAATATTTTTTTATTCTGTTTTGTTGTATTTGCTGCTATAGCCGCAACAGAAATACGCCATCTGTGAAAATTTCAACAGTCTAACTATCACGGTTCATGAGATACAGCCTTGTGAAAGACAGAAGAGTGTTAGTAATAGGGACTCCATTACTAAGACTCCGCTTCTGACGTTTTACCCTTTAAGTGCGGAACTCTAAAAACGAACGAATGAACAGTACACACATTATTCTAACAGAAAGATAAGATAATCGTGAGCTAAAGAGTCGTTCAATATGAATTAATTGAGCACGAACAGTAGGTAATAGCCAGATCTTTGTCTTTGATTGTCTATACATTAGTGACATATACGTCTCATACCGGAACCGATACCATGAACAGTCATGACGTAACCCATTGCTTCCTTACTGACCCAATGGAACCATAAACTACTTATGAGAAAAATTTATTAAATTGTACAAATGGTAAGATGTTTTTGTGGAGATGTCGAGATTTCAACGCCGTAAGGTCATCGGCCGCTTAGATTGGTTTGTGAAGCTTATAGCGATACGCAGGTTCGAATTCCGCAAACTTTTTCTATAAAATATTCACATTTTAAGTTTCACTTAGTGCAGAGAAAGCACTGGCATTAAAAATAAAATGAATCATAAATTTAAAGTTTTTTATAGCGCTAGTCTCGGCACTTAAGATTAAACATTAAAATATGTAGAAATAGTATGAAAAGATTTTCGCCGCTGTGGGAATCGAACCCATGAATCATAAATTTAAATAAAAAAGCGATATCTCTTTTTTCAGATATTGGTGTTTGATTGTTATTTTAAAAATAAGGGTATAGAATAAAAACATTAAACTCAAAATTTTCTTTTTCAACATATTCTTTACTCTAAATTATACATTAATATTACAACCCTCAGTTAATTCATTTATACTTTACAAAAGGTTTTATATTAGTTATTAAAAGGTCGAAAACAAAGATCTTTTTACATTTTTGGGAACAAATAATAATCGCTTTGGGCTTAACGGAGCTGTAGCAATTGCCTTTCCCACTAAAAAAAAAACTGGCCCCCGTACTCACCAGACTAAATACAAAGTGTTAGAGATAACAAACGATTCAATACCAAACTAAGTTATAAACAGCTATCCCTAACGCAACGCTTTTGCGACAACGCGGTACTCCCCCGTACTAAAGGGTCCGTTCACATAGGACTCCTATGGTACTCCACTCCAGACCAATCCAAGTGGTGCGCGATTATACATATTCTTTTGATGTCAACTCTGACCTTTTTGATTTATGTATTATGTTTGAATTACTTAAAACTTGGAATGTTAGTTTTATTTGTTCAGACTGAATTGTGTCATAATTGATAGATTCTGTAAAAATCGCTTAAAGAAGTAACATGTATTTCACATAAATTTTATAATGATTACGTTTCGTCTAAAATAAGTTCAAAATGTTAAAGTTGAAATAAATAGTTTTCTTATCGGTCCTGAAGTGTCTTTTTGGCTTTAAAATGATCCCATTAGTCACATCTACCGTTCAAGACGCGAGTCAATTGCATATCTTCTAACGTGCCGTATTTACTTAACCCTACGATAGCGACAACGCCGCTCGTATTCTGTACACAGAAATGAATGGCGGAGCCGTGCACATTGTTATGTAACAAATCGGTATGTAAATTTTATGAAGCCCGCGGTCACGGGTTATCTGTGAATCACGCGCTAAAAAACTCTCTTGATCTGTCACTTCTTTGCCCTTGAACTGGCATTTTGTGAAGTTCAGCTGTTAACTTAAAACTGCTCATAATGTTGTATTCTCGATATCTTGAAATCGAAGCCACGCAGCAGTCTTTTCTGTTGAGAGAAAGTACCATAACCTCGTAGAAGACTGGAAATATTGTATTCTTGCACTTCTTATTGTGAGTTAACCATGGCCGACTTTTGAAATCCCAACACCCATGGTGTCCGTTCGCGGTGGTTATCACAACATCAGGTCAACCGTCAGCTCGCTTTCCACTATCTAACGTAAAAAAAAACCGACCAAGTGCGAGTCGGACTCGCTCACGAAGTAAGCCAAGCTCATGGTGTTGTATGGGAGCCCCAATTAAATAGTTTTCATTCTGCTTTTTGGTATTTGTTGTTATAGCGGTAACAGAAATACATCATCTGTGAAAATTTCGACTGTCTATCACGGTTCATGAGTTACAGCCTGGTGACAGACGGACAGACAGTCAGACAGACGGCGGAGTCTAAGTAACAGGTTCCCGTTCTACCCTTTGGGTACGAAACCCCAAAAAGCAGAATGCACCACCATAATATATCTCTCTTAGAACTGATTAAAGACCATTGCCTCCAGGGTAGCGCTTCCCTACGACGAGATCGCGGCCTTCGACTCCCAATCGCACACGATCACCACACAACTAACGGTCCTGGCCAACGATGAGAGCACAGCCGCAGAAATCGCCAACTACTTGCAGAGGCTTTTAAGGATTCCGGTGAGTGTATAACATATTAAGTGTCCTTGTATGATTATTACGTAAAGTATCCTTGCATGCTAATATATAACAGTTGGTATTTGTGTTATATATATTTTGTCCCCTTCCCAAATTTTTAAATCCCTTTAGAAATTACGGTGTTAATAGAATAGAAACAGATTTATGAATTTTAGTATTAATAATTATAAAAACACGTTATAGTGTCCGTGTTGTTATGTCTACCTTCCTATCTGTCTCTTAAGATTGAGAAGAGTTTATTTTGCACTTTCAATAAATGTTTAGTTTTTTAAACAATTTATATTTTTTTATTCAAAAAATTCAAACAAAATTCTGAACTGAACTGGGCTGAGCGATCAGTATGATGCTAAAGATATAAGATTTTGCAGTATTGTTGTCGACCGATCGGAGTGTTAGCCTCAGCCTAACTCACGCATCGGACCTGGCGAGCGAAAATGCATTAGTAATTTTATTTCTATCAGGCCGTGGTCCCTCCCGGTCGAGTTGCATTGTACCCGGTCGTATATCAGGAGCTATAACAGCTTTCGTCAAACACGGTGATAATAAGGAACCTTACACATTATGGCTTTTGCTCAACTACTCTTACTGATGGTTAGTGTTGTGATAAGTGATGGTGAACGTTCTGCATTGGTCAGTGTCTGCACTGTTACATAACAAATCTGAGCTAACTTTAATCATTCAACGCCTTACAAAGATTTAAAGCCTTCTGGATGTTCAGAGGCCGAGGCCAAATGTAGCTGGTAATATTAGCAGACCAAAAAGATAATTTATATATCTCAAGTGGCAAAATGTTAACGAGAACCCATTAGGATCATGTAAACTCGGCACTCAGTTATAGTGCAATTAGCCGATCAACAAGTCTGTCACCAAGGGAATGCAGTCCGAAGCAATTCTATACAAATTTAACCTTCGCGGTTTTCAAAAGAAAAATGGTTTATCACGATCACGCGATTGAATCGAAGCTTGCGAAATAATCGTGTTATCTTTGAAAATGAATATTGCAATAATTATTACATATTGTTTATCTTTGAATGACTTCTTAAAATAATCCATTTCTGATAACCCTTTAGACAAGTTAATAGCTGTGAACTTTACATTAATAAACATCATTTTTACTTCAATATCAACCAAGTAATTGTTTGACACTAGGAGCGTCCTGAGTAAAAAAATAAAATCAACTATAAATAAAGTAATTTCACGTTTTGAACTTCTACTAAAGCTAAAGCTTTCTATGCCAAACTATCGTGTTTTCTTTTCGTTCGTTGATAATTTTTGACCTCCAAGAAGCTTTTTTCACGCAAGCAACTTAAAAGGATTGTCAATCAAAACTTATTTACGGATATTTTTGTGTTAACTTTTTTATTTTAATTTCTGACGTTTCGAACCCGAGTGCGTGGTCTCGGGAAAGAGTCTCAGTTTGTCACTAACTGCTAGAATCTGCTGGAACATTCTAGAAATAGCAATTTCAATGCCGTCTGTTCCACATACTTCATTCCACGGATAGTTTCACGGATTTTAAGTGTGGTAGGGCCACGCAACAGTTTTCACTGTTGCACGGATGGGCAGGTCCGTCCGGGTAATTACCACGACCTCACAGAAGACCGGCGTAAAGTAGAAGTGTTACACTTCTGCGTTTCGTTTGGTGAGTGAGGTAGCCGAGGCCCACTTTACTTAAAGGTGGCAACGCATTTGCAACCCTACGGGTGTGGCGGCGGTTACTACTTAACATCAGGTGAATCGCCAGCTCTTTTGCCACTTTTTCACATAAAAAGAAAAAAAAATATTTTTCCTCTTTAGTATGTTGCTTATCGTTTTTTAACTTGGTAGCAAATTATTTGTTTCTCAATAAAACTATGATTTCTTTGATCGCCCTTAGCCATTTCTAAATACTATCTGTTTCCTTTATTCGTCTCCATATACTTTATCATGTCTCTATCTCAATAAGCTACGAGTGGAATATGTCTAATAGAATTCTACTGCACGACATTTATATAATTAAGTATCATAAACATAAACTGTATATCATTTTAAACAGGTACTGATTGTTTTATCGCAATTTTATACGGGAAGTGTTCAAATTACAACGCACGCGTTCCGTTTCGCAGCGGAAGTGGGACATGTCAAAGCGCTCGATTTGCTCAAGTCCATTTGTTTCGCATTTCCGCGTCTCGACGATCTAAGACAGTAACGAATGGCTAGCTAATAATATTCCATTAGTTAACAATGGCGAGCATGTGGATTTCAGACTGGTTATAGAGTAAAAAAGTCACCGATTTCTTTATATTATAGGTGATAACGTAACAGGTCGTGATATCTAAAGTGGCCCTTGAAAAGGCTGTCAGATGTTAAGTTTGTTTTCTTTGGTTCATAAAACCCTAAAAACGGCAAACATATCATGTCTGTTGTATAGGAGCCCCACTTAAATATTTTTTATTCAATATTTAACCGACTTCGGGAGGAGGAGGTTCTCAATTCGACTGTATTTTTTTTTATGTTTGTTACCTCAGAACTTTCGACTGAGTGAATCGATTTTGGTGATTCTTTTTTTATTTGAAAGCTGGTGCTTCCCATGTGGTCCCATATTATTGTATGTTTCATTGGTATTGGATCTTGGGCTCCGGAGATAATTAGGGAACTCCTGAAAATCTATTATAAAATGAATACAGAGTGAGATCGGTTTAGTATTTGTTGTTTTAGCGGTAACAGAAATACATCATCTGTGAAAATTGCAACTGTCTAGTTATCACGGTTCATGAGATACAGCCTGGTGACAGACAGACAGACAGACAAACAGCGGAGTCTTAGTAATAAGGTCCCGTTTTACCCTTTGGGTACGGAACCTTAAAAAAAATAGCTACTTTACTATAACCCGTGAGTTTCAGTGTTTTTGAATGTGTTTGTATGGGACGACAGGGCATTCAAAGCTTTTATGCTAGCATGAAGCGTTCGCGCATGGTCAAAGACAAATTTATAGTTAAAATTTCTAATTAAAATTTAGCGAGAGTAATAAACAAACGCCTCAGTCTGTCCCGTGACCATGAACGCTGTAAAGGGTTCGAAACATCGGGAATTAAAATTAAAAATAAACGCGATAATTCCGTAAAATTAGTTTCATTTATAATATATAATCGCTTAAATACAAGAAATTATCAGAGAGTATTAATTATTATAAAAATTAACATGTCCAAAATAGCTCGGAGAACGTACAAATGTGTTCAGCCCTTTGCCTCCTAATAAAGAATTACTCTTTGATGATGTTCAGCAATTGACTTAAAAATTAATGATGTATATTTTTAAGTTACGCAGAACTCCGTCATTTGTGAATCGATTTAAAGAACTTTCTTTATGCTTAATCGCTTTAGCTCCCGTTTGGATCCATATTAATTTCATTGGTATTGTACCTTGGACGATTTATCAGAGAACTCAAAAATCAAACGGGAACATATAGTTAGTGAGATATTTGAAGTCTGTTTTGTGTTTTTGTTAATAAAATTGTTAAACTCGTTTTTAACTGCTAAAAAAACGCGTTAAGCTTCCTTGTTCACAAGTATCACAAAAACCAGTTCTTGATTTAGATGTTTATAATGTCATCTCGGCCTAACCACCACAGTAACCGCAAATCTCTATATCAATGTTTTGTCTTTTTTTTTAGTGATTGTATTGCACTGTCTTACTTTATTTCTCCCTCTCAAATCTAATATTATAGTGCCCAAACATAATTTAAAATAAGCCTTCTTTTCTTTTAGTTACTTCTTATGATACAGATGGTACAAAATTCATACAGGAGGCTTTTATGGGCCCAGAATCTTGAATATCTGTTCACATCCCTTTCTAGATGTTCTCAATATCAACATAACCAAGCGCGTACTGACGGACGAGCTGCGAACGACCCTCGGGTCAGTGGCAGACGAGACGGAGGCGGTGGGGGTGGTCGGTGCCAGCTTCGACCTCGAGGAGCACAATAAGCTACTCCTGGTGCAGCGTGGGCCGCTCCCCCAGGATGTGTGGGTGGGACGCGAAAGGGTGGTGTTCTTCAGGGATGCCAAGGGTGGGTACCAACCAACGGACATTGTATGTTGTATTCATACTAGATGATCTTTGCCACGTTTTTTCTCACTTTCCGTTGGAACTTGGAATAAAAAATGTATATAAAAAAACTCCCATCGATTTCAAGTCAGATCTATTCACAAAGTGCTAATTGTACCTTGTACAGTACAATAGTACATTGCAACCGCTAATGTAAGTACAATTTATTATTGTACAGTAGCGGTTATTTTTTATGGGGTAAAAAATAGCTGGCGGTTCACCTGATGTTATGTGATAACCGCCGCACTTGGACATTTGCATCGAAGGCGTAGGATTGCAGATGATTGAATACCTTTAATAAAGGTAGCGCCGACCTCACCCTAATCATTAGACGAAAGCCAAAAGTGTAACACTTCACGCTGGTCTGCTGTGGATCGTGGCACTAACCCAGACGGACCTGCCTATTCATGCAACAGTGAAAACTGTTGCGTGGCCCTATCACGGTGGGTACACAACATACCCTAGTTCCAAATTAAGAAATGGGTACTAGATATAACGATAAACATACTTAGAAATACTTTTTTTTTTTGTAAATAAATGCATACTATACATATATAAACACACAGAGACTGGAAGAAAAACTTTTCGTCATACAATATTTTCCAGATTTAACCCACACCATGCAAGAGGCAGGTTAACTACCCACTACGCTTATCGGGTTGTTAAATTATATCTATTTATATATATTTTTATATACATAATTCTTCTGTGCGTGTGTATACCACTGAACTGCTCTTAAATGGCGGGACCGATTTTTCGATGTCGATTCGAGTATAGTTTCAATTCAGTATTTTTTTTAAGTCAACGGATTTAAGTCGTGTGTACAGGACAAGGTCTGTCGGGTCCGCTAGTTTGACTACAATGTATTTAATCATCGTATTCAACTCGTCTCAATCTCCCCCCCCCCAGCCGCGGACACCGTCGCGAAGGTCCTCAAGCAGTGGATATACGTGCCCTCGGTGCTCATCGGCGCTCGCGCCCAGTCGGGCGACTCGACGCGCCGCGTTCGATTCCCGCCGGGGCGCGGCTACCACGTGGCGCTGTCCGTGGTGCACCCCCGCCCCCAGGACCTGAAGCTGGAGTTCGACGCCGAGGCGGCGGTCGAAGGTAGGATACGATGGGCGGCACCTTTTAATAGTATAAGTATAAGAGTTCTAACGTTTTTACCTTGATCCTAATATTTTAACTATTACTTAACTTGAATATTAACAACTATTATAACAACAAGCAAAACTATTGGTTATATCACCGACCGGGACCGCAGCCAAAATCCAAGTGACCGCTGCTCCATCCGACCATGTGTCCCTTGACTCGAGTAGATAACGTCATATCCGGTATACAATGTTGCCAGCGCCAACAGTAGGAGTAAATGATAGCCTATATGTCCCACCGCTGGGCAAAGGCCTGTTCTATTTAGAGGGTATAAGGGCATAGTCCACCACGCGAACCCCACTGCGGATTGGCGGAATTCACATATCTTGGATTTCTTTTTGTTTTAATTTAAGAAAATATGCAGATTGCCTTAAAATTATTGATTTCATTGCTCGCGTATATGTTGAATTAAAAACGAGCGCCCGGACAATGAGCTATCACGGCTAATAAAAAACTAATAATGGACGCGAAAATAGTTTCATTTGGTAACTTTGATGAGTAATTCTGTACCTCGAAAGGTAAACAGTATCATGCGAAAACTTTAAATGAGAGGAAAAAATGCGTTTAGCGAACCATTGAACGCATTATTTGTTATTGTGTCATATACGATTGGATATTTTATTAATTGGGCGTCGTAGGACTTAATGCTTATACTATTGCGTAGAATTTGCTCTCGCGATTTTAATGGTGTAAGAAAAATAATTTTGAAAAATGTGGAGCTATTATTGTATGCCTCTTAGGTACAGAAGTTTAGTGGGGAGTAGTCGAAAGCGTGTGGAACAAGTCTATAGAGGTGGATGGAGCTAACGTGGACGATTCATGTGGAGAGTTTAATGTGTCGTTTAATACGTTATGGATTATTTCGTTGCAGATTACATTGGCTCGTTCGTGGACGAATTGCACGAGCTACACAATTTCACCTTGAAATCCCAATGGCTTTATTTGCTGAATTTCGACTTCAAAGCTAAGGAGGTATTTCACCGTTTACGTAATTATGCGAGGGAGTTGCGAGTCAATCGAGCGAAATATTGTATCACATTTTTCAAGTAGCGAAAAATAAAGTATTCGGAAGAAAAAAAAAGTATTTTTTCAAAATTTCGTATATTTATTATTTATTCCATCTCTTGAAGGAATTTTTCCGTATTTCTAGCACAGTGACAGTTTTACATTAACCATAAAAAGAGTATTTAAGGATAATTAAAAACTATCCAGAAATAGAGTATTGTCACATATTTTTTTAATGCAAAAGTAAAAAGTATGTTTGCCAAAAATAAAGTAGTATCCGTTATTATAAGGTAGCTAGCTATAACCGCCCTACTGTCGTTCCAGATCAGGAACGACAAGTCCAGACACTTCGCCGTCAGGGAGGACAGGCTGCACCTGCTGCTGACGAGCTTGGAGACGAGGACTGCTACTCAGGTGAGGAGATTTTTTTGCCAAACGAGCAGGCGGTTCACCTGATGGTAAGTGAATACCGCCGCCCATGGACTTCTGCTACAGCCGAGCGTTACAGATGCTTTGACAACCTTTATGTAAATTGGGCTCCGGACTCACCAGACGCGAAAGTATTATACTTCCACTTTACGCCGGTCTTTAGTAAAGTAACAGCCTATACATGTCTGTACTGCTGGGCAAAGGCCTCTTCTGTACAGAGGGTATCAGGGCATAGTCCACCACGCGGCCCCACTGCGGATTGGCGGATGTCACATATCTTCGAAAAAATTTTTTTTTGTTATTATTTCGAACATATGCAGGTTTCCTCACGATGTGTCCTTCACCGCGGAGCACGTGATAAGTCGGCACTTAAAGTTAAAAACTTCATTGGTGCCGGCACCGGGGATCGAACTCCGGTTGCTCGAGTATATTGAATTGAAGGCGAGCGCCCGGACACTGAGCTATCGGCAGCCAACGGCTCTGTCCAATCGTTTACTAAATATTGATGTTTAAAAACGAACACTTTGACAGGTATCCGAGCTGCCCACAGTTAACCTGGCTCTTTACGTGGTGCCGTGCTCACAGGCGCCGCTTGTCATTTACGACACACAGGGTGAGTGGTAACAAAGGCTTAATACAAGACAATCCAACACCCGTCTGGGTTGGAACGAGCCAAAATCATGGCTAGTTTTTAGTAATTTAAAGTTTTTTATAGTGCTAATCTGTGCACTTAAGATGAAACGCTGTGGGAATCGAACCCAGGTCTTCGGCATTCGCGGCCTGACGCTTTAGCCACGGCTGATAGCCACATCGACGAGAATCTTGACGTCCTTTATCTACATTGTTGTTTAGCATTTGAAGCAATACTTGGCGCATCTATTGTTATATCCTTTCCAGCATACAAACAATTTCGAATGTCGTTTTACAACGATAACTAGTTTTTAGTGTAGAAGCGACAAGTAAAAGTCAAGATTTCTTTATTCAGCATAGACTCATTTTAAGCTCTTGTCGAACGTCTAAAACTAGCACCGGTTCACTAAATAGACCTCTCAGAGAAGAACCGGCAAGAAACTCCCGTGGTCTTGTCTATTCTACGTCTAAACTCGCCGTAAAAAGATGTAAAAAATTCATCTCATCATCTGCGGTGGTAGGGCCACGCAACAGTGTTTGCCGTTGCACGAATGGGCAGGTCCGTCCGGATTATTACCACGACTTCACAGAAGACCGGCGTGAAGTAGAAGTGTTACACTTCTGCGTTTCGTCTGATGAGTGAGGTAGCCGGGGCCCACTTTATTTAAAGGTGGCAACGCATTTGCAACCCTACGGATGTTGCAAATGCCCATGGGCAGGCGGTTATCACTTAACATCAGGTGAACCGCCAGCTCGTTTGCTACTACCTCACGTAAAAAAAATCAAACGATTGAATCTCATAGGCCTTGAATCAGCTTCCTGGTGTGCTGCACTCGTTGATAAATATTTCACAACGACCTTTGGAAAGGGGCAATCGATTTGCAAAGAGACAATTTTTGCTTTGTGGAGTATTAGACTGAAATGATAATGACGATGGCGTACATACGCACGAAAAGCATTACTGTTTTTTATATGAGGAGGTGGCAAACGAGCTGGCGGTTCACCTGACGTTAAGTAATAACCGTCGCCCACAGACATTTGCAACATCCGTAGTGTTGCAGATGCGTCGCCACCTTTTACTGATGTGCACCCAGGCTACCTCACTCACCGGACGAAACGCAGAAGTATAACACTTCTAATTATCTTCCATCTCCCTCATTTACCTGAATATGCCTAAACGCGGCCTAGAAATTTCTCTCCCAACTCTCGTTCAATTATCGAGTCACCTAAGAAGCTACACTTCAAAATCAGAACCGTTGAGATTTTTTGTATGTAAGCCACCTTATGTTAAGTGATAACAGCCACCCATTGACATTTGCAACACCCGTAGGGTGGCCGATGCGACCTTTTAAAAAAGTGGGCCCCGGCTACCTCACTCACCAGTCGAAACGCAGAAATTAAACACTTCCACTTCACGCCGGTCTTGTTTGAGGTCGTGGTACTCACCAGGACGGACCTGCCCATTCGTCATAGTTCCACTTTTTTTTTTACAAGATCCGGTCTTGTGTGAGGCTGTTGTACCCGGACGAGCCTGCCCATTCGTGCAACAGCCGAGGCTGCTGCGTGGCCTACCACATTAAATAGTCTCGTCGGTCGGTTAACGGGTACCGTTTCGCAGACAAGCCGGCGTTCGACGGCGTGCAGGCGTTCATGTCGCCCCGATGGGGCGGCGTGGTGCTGGCCAGCCCCGGGGCTGAGGAGTGCTCGGGCCGCCAGCCGGCGTGGGCCCCGCCCCTCGCCCCGGCCATGGGCGCGTTCCTCGCCCAGCTGCGGGCGCTGCTCGGCATCACGGACAAGGTGGGCCCCACTCTTATCTCCGCAGCCGTAACTCGGCACTCCAACACAAAAACGCAACCGCTGCCCTTTTTGTTAACAATAACAGAAGAACTATAGAAATTGAGAAATGACAACAGAACCACTGTTCTTTTTACTAACCGACTTCAAAAAAGGAGAACTAAATTTGACTATTTTTTTTATGTTTATTAACCTCAGAACTTTTGACTGAGATTTTGATGATTCTTTTTCTATTTGAACGCTGGTGCTTCCCATGCGGTCCCATATTAATTTCATTGGCATTGGGGCTTGATTTCCGAAGATATATTGAATAGAAAATATATTGTAAGTGAGATATTTGAAATCGGTTTTATTTTTTCTTAGTAAAATTTACCTTGATGATAAAAAAATTACCTTAATGATAACATTATCCAGTTTTGTAAGGGCGTTTTACAGACATAAATTTAAGGCGGACAAACAGACAAATCCGAAACGATTATCTGTGGATCACACAAATAGTTGCCCGTGTGGGATTCGAACCAACGACCGCAGTGCCTTGGCAACTGCGGCACGGAGTTATGCAATGATTTCGTGTAAAAGTGACTACTGTTGCGTGGCCCTACCACAGTAAATCGTACGAAATTAATATTATTAAACAATAACAATTTATTGCGAAATGAAGGTATTTTGCTATCGCAGCCGAATGTAAAAGGCGCCTACCTAGAGCCACTCAAGTCTGTGATCCCTCGCCGGTGGGAAGTAGACGGGCTACTGAGGATCAGGACCTTGGAACAGATCACCTCTGCCGAGAGGACATTGCAGTCCTTAGCGCAGTTACTTGGTAAGTGCGAACTTACAAAATAAATATAGGATATTGTGATGATTAAATTATATTGTCTCTCATTTATCTGTTGCGATTTGCAATATAAGATGATGAAATCAAAAAATAGTTACGCCTGATTTCTGAAACACTGATCTGATTAGCATCGTAGATCTTAAATATCGACTGTCAAATAGATTTTCTAATGTTACTTAAGTTGCCAAAAGGATGGTTAAATTCTGTGAACTGATCAGAATGAGCCGTGATAGCTCAGTGTCCGGGCGCTCGCCTTTACTTCAATATACTCGAGCAACCTGCGTTCGATCCAGGGCCGTGCCTGGGTATATGGCCGCCTGCGTGCCAGTCTGTATGGCCGCCCCCAGGATAACATTAAAAAAAACTACTTTAATTTTTAATGTTTATTATTTTACACAGGGCATCAAACCGGGAAAAAAATCAGTTTTGGTTAACCGAAATCGAGAACGATAAAAAAACTTTTTAAATCGAGAAAACTTTCGAAATCGAGAACGATAAATAAACTTTTTATTAAATTTCACCACACGAACACACAACTAAAAGTTTTCAGGAATTAAGCAATTTATTTTTATTCGTTAAATTAAAGAATTTAATAATATCGGATCACACACAGGACACAAATAACGATTTATCCTCGCTAATCTATAGACTAATACGACTAATAAGACGAATAAGACCGCTTACGCGACGCCGGTCAATTGAAAAAACTATTTCGGCTCGTCGCTCGTGCAATGTTCGAAAAAATTCGGATTCGCTGCATGACTAGGTATATAAATACTACAACGACCTAATCAGTTTTTATACATTTCTTATTTCTGAGAAACTCTTTTTAGATAGATTAGATTAGAGAAACTGTTTTTACTTCGTATCTTAATGAAAACAAACCGATTGTATTTTTGCCCAGTAAACAACTTGTAACGATTTGGCCGCCTCTTAATTTCGGCCGCCTGCGTGCGGTGCACGCAATGAACGCCCGTCAGGCACGGCCCTGGTTCGATCCCCGGTGCCGGCACCAATGAAGTTTTTAACTTTAAGTGCTGACTTATCACGTGCTCCGCGGTGAAGGAAAACATCGTGAGGAAACCTGCATATACTTTCGAAATAATAATGATAAAAAATAATACGAAGATATTTGAAGTCCGCCAATCCGCAGCGGGGCCACGTGGTGTACTATGTCCTAATATCCTCGGTACAGAGGAGGCCTTCGCCCAGCAGCGGGACATGTATAGGAAACTTTTTTTACCTGAAACTGATCTGATGACGAGGTTTTTCCCAGGTGAGATCCCGAACATCGTGATAAACGACGAGGTGGGGGCCGGTGTTGCGTCCGCGGTGGCCGCCGCCAGAGGGGCGGGGGCGCTCGCCCGGGCGGGGCTCCTGCGAGGGGCGCACCGCACCTCGAGCGAGGCCTTCCTCGCCGCCGAGACGGCCTTCACGGACCCCAGCCTGCTGGCCTTGCTCTACTTCCCCGACGACCAGAAGTGAGTGAAAAAAGTAAACTGACAGCCTATAAATGTCCCACTGCTGGGCAAAGGCCTCCTCCAAATATGCAGGTTTCCTCACGAGGTTTTCCTTTACCGCCGAGCGCGTGATAAGCCAGCATTTAAAATTTACAATTTCATTGGTGTCGGCACCGGGCATCGAACTCAGGTTAGGCAGTCCCGGGCTCGTAAAATAGGGATAGGGTGTCCCCTGCCTCTCGTAAAAGGCGACTAAAAGGGGAGACGGATTGGCAGCAGCACGAACTGGTGGCATTTCCCCCACGTTAACAAAAAAAATAGGCCCGCCCCGATAAGTGCCGCAACCTCGCGGAAGACCGGCGTGAAGTGGAACTATTAAACTTTCAAATATCTGATGACTGAGGTAACCGGAGCCCACTTTTTTAATATTTGTCAACCCATCTGCAAGACATTAGACAGTAGACGTCCTTTGGCGGCGTTATTCACTTAACATGAGGTGAACCGCCTGCTCGCTTGACAACTTTTGTCGTTTAAAAGCCAGTTTCCTTCGGAGCTCGTATCGGCTTCTCGTGAGAATAAAACCCTCAGGTACGCCATCTACATCCCGCTGTTCCTGCCGATAATGTTCCCGGTGGTGCTGTCGCTGAAGAACCTGGTGCTCTGGCTGCGCGGGAAGCCGCCCAAGGTCAAGGTGGACTGAGCATCTCACTTGATATGCTGTCTGTGATGTGGTGGTGTATATTCAGTGTCGACGGAGATACACTTTCTGTTCTTTAGAATTGTTTCATTTAGACCCCTGTCCGTTTTAATAGCGCAGGTCCATAAGTCCCTGGCGATTGGAAACGTATCGGATGATCCGAAGAGTGAGATAAAAAATGTCACTGTCAATATTCCATATTGAGGGTAGAGAAGAAATGGGAATGTAATTACTATTACTATTTTTTGCAGACACATGTATCAGAAAAGTTTATTATTTTAGGGTTTGAATAATCAGGGGGATAATTGATAAAAAATATATATATTTTGAAATCACTATTTAAAATAGTATCTAAATATTTATTCCCAAACATGTATTTAAATCTTAGTTTGACTCATTGCGAGTGTTGCCACGCTCATTTTCTTTTTTTTTTTTAGATAAATAACTGAGTGAACCAATTTAAAATAGGGTCTAGGATGTGAGAATTGGTATTATAAAAGATGTGTACTAAATGTAAAAAAACGCTGTAAAGAATGAGTCTTCAATGCTGCACATTACCATATATTAATATGTAATACTGAGGTATTTTGTCACAATCAAAATTCATTTAAAATCCTTAATATCTATGCATAGTAGTATGCGGTCATAATACATGTCTTACAAGCGGAAAGGCATGGACAAAAAATAAACAGACAACGGTAGCCATAATAATCTGTAGCCAGAGAATACAGAACCAGTTTTAACACGACAAAGATACTCAGATCTTGCTTACATCGTTTTTAAAATACAGGTAATAATTTATACACGCATAACTTGTTTAATGAATTAAGTTTTTGATAACATGAAAAGCACAAACTTTTAAAAATATTACTTTAACAAAAATATTTAAAGTCGATGATTTTGGTCTTAATGTTGCTTAACTATTGTATGATTAAGTACTATCCATCTTTATAATTTTGGAAGATAAGATTTTCGTTATATCAAAAATCAAAGTAAAACGTATTAAACATGTTGAGAATGGAGGGATGGACAGAGAATGTCACAACCTAAATAAATTCCATAACAATTTATTCATTTCAAACAGATATGAAACGTAGTTATATAGATATGTGTTTTTTCCCTTATCTATACTAAGTATAATAATACTGAACATTAAATCTATAACAGCCGCATCATATTTGGAAAATGTCCGCCTCACGCCCGGTCTCTGCAACACTGATCATCGTAGAAGTTAACTAATCAGCTGTCAAATGGCTTTTCAAATGTCATTTGAGTTGCCAAAATGATTGTTAAACTCTTGTTTGAATTGATTAGTTAATTTCTACGATAATCAATGTTTCATAAACCGGGCGTCGAAATCAATCGGAACGGGCAGCAGTCATTCGTTATATCCAAACTCCAAGTGCAAGACGAAATTGCGAAGTGAGTTCTACTCTATAAACAAACGACCACTCGCCACGAGAGTACAGTAGATATGTCGAAAGAGTAATTTTATGGAAATATGCCTAAATTAATATGTTTGTTGTAACGTGAGTGCGTTTGAAGTCTGAAAAGGTGCATACAACGTACTATACACAGCTGACAAGCTTTAGCTTCAAGTTATACATCATTTGGAGTGTTTGGAACACAAGTATAATTTTTAACAGAAAGGAACCGACTTCGATCAGAAAATTAAAAACATTGTTAATACCTATATGATGCAATGATGGCCCTCGATTTCTCTGGGATGCCATCAGATCCGGGTTTCCTTATCATGGTACCACCCTTGTGATATTTCCTTTCCGACAAAAAAAGAGTCATCAAAATCGGTTCATAAACGACGAAGTTATCCGAGAACAAACATAAAAAAAAATAAAAATATACAGCGTGTCGTTACCATCGCGACAATAAATGAACACACGTATAACGCTACTTGCCAATAATCATAAAATAATTTTAACGTTAAACAAAATCCATAATTAAAAAAAAAATATTTTTCAAACAAACTAATTAAGTAAAAAAGAAACAAAATTTGTAACATCCTATACAACTCGCGCCACAGCGTCGTATTACAAGCCTCTCCTTCTAACAGTATGTTTTGTCTCTTTTAAATTCATTCAACCCATTTATATGCTTTGTGACCTTTACAAATGAACTTTACGGTTACGCTTTTATAGGTAAGGGTGTTCTAAAATTATTTGTTTTGGAAAATTTAATAACTCTGTAAATATTGATGTTTAAAAAATTTAAATGTTTAATACAACTTTAAAAAGTTATCCCCTATATGTGTGTTCATTTATTGTCGCGATGGTAACGACACGCTGTATACGGTCGAATTGAGAAACCTCCTCCTTTTTTGAAGTCGGTTAAAAATATGCGAGTAAAATTTTTACGGTGCGAGCGCACACAACAGCCGTAAAGCGACATGATGAAGTTGATTGCGAAGCGGCCAACTTAACGGTGTTACCGTGGCAACCAATAACTTTTTGACATTTACTTATACTTCCAAGTTATTCAATTAAACCATTATCAATTTCATTTAATGTACTTTTCAAACTCAAAGAGTACTGACACATGGGATGAAACTTTTAGTAATTTTTCACGCTAAACTATTATAACTTCATGCGTGCGTACATGGGTACAAACAAACATTTTTTATTCGTACGGAGTGTACTTTAAGTGATGTTTTTGCTTTCACTCTGTAGAATATTAAAGCTTCATCGAACGCAGAGCTCGTGGGCTAGCCAGAATCATTCATCATTCTAAACGGGAAGAATCTCACCTGCGGGGAATCGTGGTACGGTATGTACCATGACCCTCGCTTCCTGTATTAATCAGAGGCTAGTGGGATATGAGTACTCTAAGTAATAAAGATTCAATAAATGACCAGAACAACGCTATCGTAGCACAAGAGCAAGACCTGATGGCCAAATAAATAACCTAGTTTTTTATATTTGATAAAAGTAATTTAAGAATAACACCATCTTAATGGATTCTGTTTAATGGATATTTTCTATACATTAAGATAGTACTCTTTATACTGTCTATATTATATTTATTGACGATGAGAATTTTGTCGGAGTAACTTTATTTAAATTGTTTTTTTCTCTCCTCGATCAATTGTGAATAATACGTTGCATTTATACTTTTGAAATCTGATAAAGTGAAAGCCAACGATAAACAAATTCTCCTATACACTTATTTTACATTATTTTCAATCCCATAATTTTTAGCATTTTATTATGTTCGTAGTTCCTTGCTAAGCCAATGCCGGGAGAAAAAAATGCCATATCTATTATTTCCTAAAATATATCCTATGAAGCTATTTAATTTTATTAGAAATTTGTTATTAATAACAAAATAAAATTTCTTCCAACAGTTAATGATTGATTTCCTTCAAAGTCTTCATAACATATTAAAACTGACATTAAACGTTTTGAGCTATCCTAGGTAAATTCCAAGATGTAACCTGTTTTACCAAAATTCATTACAACTGTTAAAACAATACACGCTCGATAGCAATTATTTTCCCTGGCAACGGCAATATGTCAATAATACTACTAATTAGATATCCATCCGTACGGGGCTGTTATAAACCACACGTACGGCGCGCAATCAAGTGTTCCAGCATTATGACTCGATCCAGTCTGTCTCTGTGACTATCGCCACGTTCTCCCCGCGACCTGGCAAGTACTCCAACTCCCATAAAGAGTTGGCCAGCACTAGAGTCTCGCCTTCTACGAGCTCTACACTCAAGTTGTAGCAGATCTCCTCGCAGGGCGCTCTCGGCTTCAGCCGAACGATATTCCTTCCCTTCAATTGCGACATTACGATCAGGCCTACGTCCAGCTCGAGGGCCTTAAACCTGTGCGTGTCGTAGTTCTTCGACAGCAGCAGCCAGTTGAAGTGCGAGGGGGGTATGTGGGGGGACAGGAAGTAGGGGCGCGGCGCGAGCAGCCTGAAGGACTTCACCGCTCGTATGTCGCAGTTCTGGAAGTGAACGAACCAGCTCGGTATGTTGGTGTTGGTTATGCGGGAGACGATCTCCTCGAGGTCCATCGGCTGGCGGCCGAGCCGGATGTTGGTGAGGACCCTGCACGGCACGGAGTCACGGAGGCGGTCGTCGTCGCCTATGAAGCTGGTCAGGTTCAGCTCGGAGCGCGTTATCGACCAGTCGTGGTAGGCGTCCGTCACGATTACCGGGGCGCCGCGCAGCAGATGGTGGTTGAAGACTTCGTTGTAGCTGGAGTCGGAGACGCGTGCGATTTTTTCTGAAGCAATAAAGATTTATTTCTTACATTATTGCCGTTGTATTATTGGGTAAAAGGTAAAGTTTTTTTTAACTATATTATTCGCCGCCATCACCATACAGCACTATCTTCACCAACATACAGCTAGACATGGCAAATAGGATTTACATCCGATCTTTAAGTCACTGTCGATATCATCGTATTATATTGACCAAGGGACAGTAAAATGTTTTCATTTAGTAAACTACACACTTTTTGCTCGCTATTTAAAAAAATATTTTATCGATATTCATTACTTACTGATAGATTCACAGGAAATACAATCCGCTGGTGAGACGAAATCGTTGTCCATGCTATGGGGCTGCGATCTTTCAATGAGGCACTTATTGTAGTATAGCGGAGTCCAATCCCAAATCGGGAGCAGCCGTATTAAAGTCATCCGAGCTATCGCCGCTGCGTGCCATTGAAATGCTTCCGTCTGACTCACAGTATATCCAATAGCTACCACCATCACAAGAAACAGAAACACACGGGTCCACCGCTTAATGGACGCTTTCCTCACCGCCGTTGTTAATGGACGGCATATAATATCCATTTCCTCGTCGGTCATTCCTGCCTCTTTACAATATTCATAAAACGAACGCACTTCCGAGTTAATTAACTCAAATTTCTCTCGTTGAGTCATTTTTGCCGCGTTCTTTAGGCTCATTTCTACAGTGACCTACAAATTTTGCCACGACCACCCCCACGATCGATATTAAACTTGCGTTTTGTCAAGGCTTATCGATAAACGAATTTCGCGCGCGCGCGATAAAGGCTATCCGTTGTATCACAGAACAGAAGAGAGAAAATAAGACATTTTCACAGAGTGCTTAAAAATTAACTTAAGAACTTAAGAGAAAACTAACTACCAGTTATTCTTTTATTTAAAATTTAATTATTTATTGAAACATAAATATTAAAGATATCACATATATTTTTGATTTAAAAATTAAAATTATTTAAATCACAAATTAAAATTATGGTTATGGCTAAGGTTATATTTATTTCTGTCTTTACTTTTACAATTCCGATAATATATACCTAAATAAATGTTTTCTAAGGTTATATTCGAATTAAAAGTAAACTGTAACAAAATACTTTCACCAAAAAATTTTGAGAAAAAAGCAAAAAGGCAAAAATCGTTATTCACTATTTAGCATGGCAATATTAGAAGTCAAATACCTTTTCCGCCATATTGAAAGTTCGCAAGTGGAAGTCGATCAAACACCAACCTTTTAAAAGATTGGTATTAATTATGAAAAAACAATAATTGTTAAAGTGGTTTAAAATTATAATTCGTCAATATTTAGCTTGTTACATGTGCTGGTGAAATTGTTGTCAAAGATTTAAATTTTTTGCAATTCTTTTGATGAATACGTCACAGCGCCATGTTGTATTCCTGCTCTGATTGCAGGCACGAGAGATCTATCAATCCTTTTATTTTTTGGGATTAGTGCCCGAGAATAAATCGAACTGAGATTTTGTACTCAAATATATTTTAGTTTATATTTGTTAGCAAATGTCAAATAACTTCGGTGAATTAGATGCAGCCCTGTTGTCGCTTTTCGAGTGTTAACTCTTAATTTCAACTGCAGTTTAGTGCATCCGCGAAAGTCGAAAGGACTGTGTTGTAAAAGAAAGAAGTGATAATTAGCCAAAATTCCGGTCCCCACGCGCAGACGAGAAGGTGCCTACCCACCAGGGCAGTCGGGCGAGGGCGATATGAATAACAAACGAAAAAATCGACAAGGGCCGCCGAGGTAAGGCCTGTATAAGTACACCAACTTTCAGTATTGGTATGACATGTCTTTGTTATTTTCGAACTAGACGTCGATCGCTTTGCGAAAATTCGCTGTTTCCGTTGTCAACTTGACAGATTTTCGTTTTGTCGTGCGCGTGGGTTAAAATAAAGCGTGTAAACAAATCGTTGAATTTCACGAACCTTACGACGCGGGACACGCCGCCTTTGCGGTGCGAGAGTTACGAGCGCGGTCGCCTTTAGTAGTTTGCCCTACTTTGCTGCGTACTCACCACTATTAGAATAGCTGCTTGCGATCAGCTGATACCCAGCGCCCGTGTACCTAACTGCATTCGGATTCGCCTGCACAGTGCATTTAATTCGTCCCATACACAATTCAAAATTGGTAACTGATCAATATTACATCTTTACGAACTCATTACTTAATCTGCACTTTGCATATTTCCAACATATGCTTTTGCTTCGCTTGTATACATAATAGAGTAGATGGTTAGATAATGGCAAATCTCCATAACCTCGCCACATTTTTCGATTTTTCGAATGTATTGCCCTTATTTTAATCATGTTAATATGTTTAGCATTGCTATAGCGTAGAAATTATCATTCATCTCGGAAACAATATTTGCAGCCAATATAGGATTTTTTTTCCAGAAATTCATGAGAACTATTGCATTGTTATTAATTATTTATTAATACTTTTTATGTGCTATACTTTATTTTACTTTTAAATATTCACTATGTCTGAGCTAGTTGGTTCATGGAATAAAAAACTAATTAATTATATTTATCATATATGAATAGTAAATTATAATATTTAATTTTTTTCAATATAGGTAGAAATTTAGCACCAAATTGACTAACAAGTATCTATGTGACCATTGTGTATTTAACAATTTTTTTTGTTTTACAGATTTTTTTTGCGTTTTAATAAGATTTCTAAAATACCAATATGTCAAACCCTATGCACCCCTTTCCAGTCTGTCCCATGACCATGAACATTGGAAAGGAGAAGATTTAAAAATCTTTTCAAAATGCAATAAAATCTGTTAAAAATTTTCATTTAACAATGTATAATAATCATGTTAAAACAAACAATCAATAAATTATTATTGATAAAAAAGTAGAAATAGAGGATATTTGAAAACTTTGCTTTCATTTATCTTGCATATTTGTTTACAGTTTATATTGGGTGAAAGCAATTTAATAATACATACTTAATTGATTTGCTTCACTCTAACATAGATTTCTACATTTATGTAGGTTAGAAAGTTTCTTTGTCCTCGCATTGTTGAGTTATTTTGATATAAAGAGACCTTAACTCAAGTGTATTATTTGTCAAGTATTATATTGCTATAACCAGAATTTTTGACTTAATACCAGAAATAAATGAAATTAAAAATTATATTAATAATATTCATGTAATATGAAAATATAGAATAATAATTAATCAATTGTATGAACACAGCTTTTGGAAAGTATTAAGGCAAGTTTAATATAACAGCCCTATTATTTTGTTGAACATAACATCAAGGAACAAAATTCATAGAAATACAGCAAATTCTGTACTTTCGGTTTAATAAATTCTTTGGCTACTGCTAACTTTATTAGATAACATATTGGCCATAGTATCAACTAAAACATGGATCTTAAACTAAAAGAATATACCTACTTTTGACTGCTGAGTTTCTTAGCCAGTTCTTTACAGGATAGGTCTAAATTTGCAAACACGTGGTAAATTTTGACTAGGTAAATATAACAAAATTATGTATTAGAGAAATTGTTCTTAAATTGAATTTACTATCCATAAATTAAAGCCATATTATGTAACCGCCAAGTTTTGTTTTGGTTTAGATTTATTGATTCAGAAAAAGATTGTTTTGTGTGTAGATACAGGAAGAGTCAGTCTATATTAATCTAATAATCTGTAAATGATTTGATTTCCTACATGGTTGATTTGGACATGGTAATTTTTATGGTAATGGAAGATTCAATCAATGCATACCATTAAACTTTACATGCACAATGCACTTTACATTATTAGGGCATAGTAAATCGACACAACTCCATTCCAGTTAATGGACTTAACATAGGTATCTTTGAAATATTTTTTAAATATATTTGGAAAATATGCATGACTCCTCATGATATTTTCATAAGCCTGAAAATCACAATTCACAGCTTCTTTGGCCCACTCTGGCATGAACTATGGTTGCTAGATTATATTCAATTACATGTATATATATTGTTGTAGTATATTTATTTATATTTTCATTCCAACACTGTAATAGCCATTAAAAAATTGTCAGATTATACTAACAGTAAATCATAAACATAAGTGTATATATATCATTCTAAACTTGGGGTGGGTTTTTATGGGCTATAGGATCTCAAATATTACGTAAGAATACTCAGTTTTTATAATAATTTGAAAAGTATGAACGATTGCTTTAATTGATTTGAAAATTATAACATATTTCCATTTCCTTTAAGATATTAGTATTATTTGCCCATTTATTTTGTTTTATCAATATGTATCATTTTAAATATTTTTCTATGTGAAAAGTTGGCAAGCACGCAGGTAATTCACCCGATAATATGTGATAACTGCAACCTGCCGACGGCATTTTTGTGCAATACCTAATCATTAAAAATAGCGGTGCTCAAATTCTTCACTCATCCAACAAAATCAACAAGGAATATACTTCTACTTCATGCTGGTCTTATGTAGGGCCATGGTACCACCTACCTTCTAACTATCCATTCGTACAACAGCGGAAGCTTTTGTGTGGTCCAACCATAGAGACTTATTTCCTCATCTATTACAATTATATGTAGTAATAATTACTATTAATTTATTAAGCTTGAAAAATGTAACTTAAATAAAATTATATCAAATAATATAACAACAAACAGGAGAGGCAGTAAATAAACATTTTGAATTATTACTGCAGCATGTCCAAATATTTTTCCAACTTATTAAATATTCATAAAATCCTATCAAATAATGGATAATCACTGTTATTTGAGTCGAATAAACTTAAAAATGATTAATGGGCTCTTATTCTTGTGCAGGAAATAGAAAGTATACCTTGCACACTTGTCCTTGTGTGCCAAGATCTATCTCTTATTTCCAATTGTTTACTACATATAACATTCTGCAATTATTTTTTTTTTATGCAAGGAAGTGGCAAACAATTTATGAAAAGATGGTGTTTAATTGTTGTAATTTTTTCAAATACTAGTTGTGGATATAGTTTTTTAATAACACACTTGCAATCTGAAAGGTACTTAGCAAGTCATGCAGGTAGATTTTTCTCTCTCTCTCGTGAGGATTGCTAAGTGCAATGTCTGAATAATATCTCCCTAATTCACTAAAGAATGTCCTATATTGGTAAAATTACAACAATAAAAGTACAGCCTCTTTATCAATATTATAGAAATACATTCTTATACATTTTATCATTCTTAACAAAGCGGTTATGGTCATCATTATGTAATTTGCCTCATGATTAATAACAAGTATTGCTTCTAAAGCACATTTTGAATATTATTCCTTGAATTAGTTGTTTTATTATCTTTATGTCATAATATATTAAAGTGACCTAGATTAGGAAGATTTTAAATTTTGTCATACTGTGTTAAAGTTGTTGGTACTTTGGTTATTTTAAAATTGATATTTTTTTTCAATGGCTTATCTCAAACTGTAACTATACAAATGTTTAGCTACTGTCAGTAGCTACAATGTCGTAATCCTTATCGGTAGTTGATGATAAAATGCACAAATGCTGCATTAATATATTTCTAAAGCAAAATTATGAAGACTACAAAGTATCATAAATATGTTCATGGTCTGAGTATGTAAGAAAAGTATCACATAATTATTTACATATGTTCAATGTATTCATTTAAATTTCGTTATTATTAATTATAAATAATGACATAACATTATTTCTGCACAGATAAATATTTAACTTTAAAAAATGATAAATTGCATGAATTGATTATATTGTACTGTTCATTGATTATGAATTTTTAATTTAAATGATTGATAATTTTATAAATACATAATTCGTCCATTTAAGGTGCCACTATATATCAATTAATCGGTACTTAAAGCAAGGATATAATATTATCACTTTTGTAACATCTGGAGGTTGAAAATACATTCCAGGCTGGTTACCTCACTCGTGAGACGAAACGCAGAAATATAACACTCACTTAATTTGCCAGTGCAGGCTCGTCTGGTCGTACCAAAATTCTACAGAATAGCCTGCCCATTTGTAAAACAGTCAAGATTGCTGTGTGGCCTTACCATATTCAAATTGTAATATATTAAATTATTATATATTGTATTCAATGTCGTAAATAATTAATAAAAAAATCTCTAAATATCCTTGATATATAAATATGAGTATAAACTGAATAATTAATTAATTTCTATTTAATAATAAATTTCTCAGGAACAAATAAGACAGTATATCAACATTTACTTTAGTTTCGTATACAAGATACTTCATAACATAATTATATCTATTATTCATTTATTAATCATAATAGATTTTTTACGTTTTTTACTATAAAAATGTTTCTTATGTCAAAACTATATATAATTAAATTTAAACTATTTTAACAGAATTCATTGCAAATGTTTTTCTGGATTCATTGTTAAAATTTATTTTTCTTATTTTTTTTTTATGTGAAAAGTTGCAAAGCGAGCAGATGGTTCACCTGATGTTAAGTGAATACCGCCGCCCATAGACATTTTGCGTCGATAACCTTTTGAAAATTGGGCTCTGGCCACCTCACTCACCAGACGAAACGCGAAAGTATTATACTTCCACTTTACGCCGGTCTTCTGTGAGGTCGTGGTACTTACCCGGACGAGCCTGCCCATTCGTGCAACAGCCGACGCTGCTGCGTCAGAGTTTGAAGTTCCATATATAGTTAAATTTAATAGAATGTACTATATTTCAATCATGTTGAATCATATAATGATTCAAATATGCATGTGTGTCACATACACAAAATTGGTATGAAATAACCTTAGTTCATACTTTCTTTTGATTTGTACTAATAGTGTCGGAACAATGATGGACAGATGTTCGGAAGGTCATCCGAAACTTCAATATGTTTTAATTTAGGTGATGGATCATAAGAATTTAATTGTGAATTAAATAAATGTTTGCAAATAATTTCGCAAAATTCATTATTAACTGGGGTCATGGTAGTGAATATTTGTTGCAGATTAGAATTTAAAAAATGTATGTTTGTATTAACAGGAACACTAACACTTTCATTCTAGCGTATGCTAATCCTGTATGCGGTAATAGATGTAGGAATCGTTCAGAGTCATTGATATTCTATCATCATGTATCACTGGATGCTGTATACGATAAAATATGTTAAAGATAATATTACATGGGCTTATTTTAATAGTTTTGGAAATTTGCCCGATTTGCGATTATGTACTGATTCATCGTGATATGCGCTCAAAAATCACGTTTTAACAAGGTTTTATTCAGCCTGCTTATCCGTTATTATTTTAGAACCTGACGATCATTTTAGTAAAATTATTGAATCTTTCGTGAGATGTTATTAAAGGAATACTAAAAACGGCTCAATTCACGTACAATCGATGTATCTACCAACTAGTTTCGGACCTATCGGAGGGGTGAGTGGGATGAGTTCGCTAAACGAGACGGGGTGTGAACGCGATAAATAACTGGTTGTGCCAAAAGTAATGTTCCAAACGAAACAAGCCAAATTTTCCATTAAAAAAACTTTAATGATACACAAATTTAATACTTATCGAAGAAGGTTTCTATGTAATATAACAACGAAGGCTCGTTATCGAATATTTATACGGTTGCTTTTACGTAAACAAGTCTACGTTTCGGTTTTTTTAGACAAAGCTATGCGACCGCCTCGTGCCTCGGGTATGTTGGATTCGAACCCCGCGCCAATAGTGTTTCACTGCCGCTGAATTCATTTCAGGATGGTGTCTAGTTGCCCGTAACGGTGTTAATACATTTCCGATAGTTTCCAGTTTGTCTGTCTTCGTGTGAGGGTGAGACTTACCGCCTAAGATAGCGACCTCTTCAAAACTATTCCTCCTCGAGACCGAGAGCTCGTGAAACTGGCGCGTTTTGTCCCATTCTTCCATCTGTCCAAGTCGATGACACTTCGGACGTTTCACCGCTGAGCCTCCTCTCTGCTATGCGAGTGCCTTGCGACCAGAGCAGTGGGCCGAGCACCGGTCCCTGGTCCCCGGTCCCGGGTCCCCGGTCTCCGGTCTCTGCCCGCCACCAAAGCGCCGTGTTTGACCGCTGCGCAGGTCGCCGCGCGGCCGCGTGGTAGCCGAGGGCGTGTACAGCAACGCGCACTTCATGCACGCGGCCACGTCCCACGTGGGCGACATCGTGCAGGTGCTCACGCAGTCGGGCAGCCTCTGGGAGGGGGTCTTCAAGACCTTCAGCGCTCAGTTCGAGGTCAGTGCATTTTGGATTACGACCCAAGCTCCCGCCAGCTCCGGAATGGAGGCCGCACTCTGTGCGTCGCGGAGGCTGAGTTTGTTTGGAGCGTGTTTTGCGGGTAACCAGTTAAATAACAACGAAGGTCAGTAGTGTTTGGTCTTGATTATCTTAACCGGCGCAGTCCATCCCAGGTGAAGGCTCTTATAAGAACAACGTCACGGCGTCCTGGAAAAATCGTATAAGTCGACAATGGGGTCATTCCTCATTCATTAAGATTCCTCCAAGGTGCTTGAATTTGGAGCCATTCCAAAAGCGCCTCGTTTACCAATCAGGCATCTTGTGCGTTATGTAAAGGTGCCTCGTCTATCACTTGGGGTTCCCGCAACACTACGGGTTTGATCTAGGCGAGGAAGCAGCATAGGCTTTTACAAAGAATTCTGCAAGTTGGCATTGGATGTGAATGATAAATCAAATATATTTTTTCACACATTGTTGGCGGAGAAAAGCGGAATCATTATGTTCCAAGTCCTTACGTTGTCTTATTCGGCTCAGCCCGTAATTCGTGAACGTTATCAAATATTCAACTGCGGTAGGACCAAGCAACATTGTTCACTCTTGCACGAATGGGCAGGTCCGCCCGGATAAGTACCACGACCTCACAGAAGACCGCACTGAAGTAGAAGTGTTACACTTCTGCGTTTCGTCTGGTGAGTGAGGTGGCTGGGGCCCACTTTATTTATAGGTGGCAACGCATTTGCAACCCTACGGGTGTTGCAAATATCCATGGGCGGCGGTTATCACTTACATCGGGTGAACCGCCAGCTCGTTTGCCACTTTTTCACATAAAAAAAAAATACGACCTCAACAATTGCCGAGTGCTGAGTAAGGCCTAGAACTGATCTATAGTAGTACCTTCATATATTTTAATACGCGAACTCTCACACGTGTGAACCTTGCGCGTGTCCAATTAGGACCTGTCAGTACTTCTACGGGGGATCACTGATTGGGTTATTTACAACCACTCCTCAATGGTGGCCGCGATTAGAGTACTCTCCGTCGACGGGTAAATGGTACATTCTACATTACGTCGGGTCTAGGGACCACTGCTATATCATTGTCTGGTCCGCTCGTCTTGAATTTTTTTACTGTGTCCATAACTGAGTGACCAAAGTAGTGCGTAAAATAGATATAATACTGAAATTAATAAAGTTGTCTATATTATTTTTCTAATTTGGTCCATTTTTTTTATTGAGATATCTATATTATAAATATAACTAATACATTTAAATGATCATTTCTTGTATATATTTCGAAACTTCGCATGTCTCGAAAAAAACGGCTGTTATTATTTTGATCCACGTTTATATTGATATAAGGTTCTCTGCTATGTTCTCTGCTGGGTTATTGACCCATTTGGTATAGTGGGTTCAATTTCCACTGCTGGAAATATATTATGTGATGATCATAGTGTTTTTCTAGGGTCTGCGTGTAAGAAAAGTATGTTTATCACATACCTAGTATTCCATGGTATAAAAGTAAAGTAACAGCCTATACATGTCTCACTGCTGGGCAAAGGCCTCCTATATACAGAGGGTATCAGGATATAGTCAACCACGCGGCCCCACTGCGGATTGGCGGACTTCAAATATCTTCGAAAAATATTTTTTTTTTGTTATTATTTCGAAAATATGCAGGTCTCCTCACGATGTTTTCCTTCACCGCGCAGCACGTGATAAATCAGCACTTAAAGTTAAAAACTTCATTGGTGCCGGGACCGGGGATCGAACTCCGGTTGCTCGAGTATATTGAATTAGAGGCGAGCGCTCGGACACTTAGCTATCCCATGGTATAGGCTTTATTTAGCTTGGGTCAAGATAACGTTTTGTAAAAATATGTCGCGAAATAGTTATTTCACAAAAAAATAAAATATTCTATCTACATAGGCGTCTCTACTAAAAAACGCGAGTTTACGAAAAAAAAGAAAATTTAATACAATTATATTGTAAAGCGCCATCTCGCAAATTCTTCAGGTACTTGCATTCCTGCTATTGTATGTTAGTATACTGGTACCGCAAAACTTTGTGAGATGGCGCTATGTGATATTATCCAAATACATAATATAACCTTGTCGAGTAAACCAACGATAAAACACGATTTCACAAAATACAAATAGCTTTTTTGGTAGCTCTGTTACTTCCTTATTATACGATATGATATTATGTCACTTTTATAATTGTCAACCACTTTGGGTACACCGTGCAAAACATACTTAACGGAATAGTTTCAGCCCATGACAAAAATTTGCCGTGTAACCTTGTTGGACTGTGATTATATAATACAAAATTACAAATGCCAATTATTACATATATTTGCGTGTTTTTAGGTATCCAAAAGTCGTTAATGACGTAATTGATTTGTGCTGTCTAGATCCGCGGAGCTATCTATCTTTATTCTCTTTTCCTCTTTCACCACGCTAAGCACTTGATGGGTTTTGATTTTTCTTGTTAAAACTTTTGAGATGTGATATCTGTCTTACGGTTTCTGAAACACTGATCGATCGTAGAAGTTAACTAATCAGCTGTCAAATACATTTCAAATGTTATTTGAGTTGCCAAAAGGAATGTTAAACTCTTTGAATTGATCATTCTTATCATTAATAAGACCATTCTGATCAATTCAGAGAGTTTTACAATACTTTTGTCAACTCAAATAATATTTGAAATGTATTTGACAGCTGATTAGTTGACATCTATGATGATCAGCGTTTCAGAAACCGGGCGTTGGGTTGGTACTTTTTATGTGAAAACGTGGCAAGCTAGCTGGCGATTCATCTGATGTTATTCAAATAGACGCTTGCGCGTTCTTATGAAACGTCAAAATTTTACATCTCTTATCCTTTAAACGAGCAATTCTTGTATATATATATAATTGGAATCTCGGAAACGGCTCCAGCGATTTTCATGAAATTTAGTATGTGCGTAGATTCGGGGGCGAAAAATCGATCTGACTAGGTTTCATTTTTAGAAAATGTCGTTTTATCCCAGTTTTCAGGGAATGAAAAATATTATTCGAATACGACGGTAAATTTCACCGAAAAAAAATGTTGTAATAGCTCGGTCGGTAATTGGTTGGCCGCTCACAAACAGCCACGAAACAGAAGGCCGTGGTTCGTATCACGATCATTAACACACTTATTTTTTTTCTTTTTTTTCGATTCTTTTCTTTATCTTTTATTTTTTGTTGATTTGTTATTTTGTTATTTTTTTTTCCCTTTTTTTTAAAGTTCTTTCTTTTGTGAAAAACACCAGTTCATATTTTCTTATTATTACGTTGGTAAGATCGAAACACATCATGCATATTTCATTAGTTACCAATTTGTATCTAAATGTAATTTCCAAAATACACGATTTACCAAAAAAAACAAACCGAGCAAAGCTCGGTCCTCCAGGTATAGAAATTAATACATTAGTTTGTAATTAAGGTACCACCGGTTCGGAAAGCAGTCTCTGTTGAAAGGAGACCGGCAAGAAATTCAACAGTTGCTCTTTTTTAAAATATATCAGTTTACATTATAACATGGTACATGTATAATAGTTTTATTTTAGCCTACGTGAGTATTAACTCGATACATTGGCGCCGTCGAGATATTCCGCCATGGTTTAATATGCTTTAACCATAATTTTACTTTTAATTTTGCGTTTAAATTGATCAAGTGGCAGATTTAATATCGACTGTGGGATTTTATTATATCTATATGCGCACACTGCCCCATGAACGACCTATTTACGAAAATAAATGACGTAGATAGTTTGTCCTTATTTCTATTGTTTAATTTATGTCTGTCACTATTCTTTAGATAATAGGTAATTAAGGTTATGTGGAATATACAAAAGAAATATATTACAATAAATGTATTCAGACGCATCAGTGAGTAAATCAATCTGTTTAAGAAGATCTCTGAGTGTATTCCGGGCTCCGATATTATAGATTGCTCACACAGTTAAGCGGCAGTTAAGTTATAACATTTGCAACATCAGATGCGTTGCCACCTTTTAACAAAGTGGGCCCCGGCTACCTCGCTCACAAGACGAAACGCAAAAGTTAACGCTTCCACTCCACGCCGGTGTTCTGTGAGGTCGTGGTACTTACCCGGACGGACCTTCCCGTACAATAGAGAAGACTGGCCCTACCGCAGTTAAAGCTCAGTGTAAAATATATACTTGATATATATTGAACACAGCTATATACTATACTAATATGTACTAAATATTACTTTCTTCTTTCTTTCTTACTTGTTGCGGTTTTATAGTAAATATGCCAATGTTTATTAACTAGTACCGATTAGTTATATTAGTGAGAATGTTGAGTATAATTATAATGTTACATGTATCTTTCGTGACTGAATTCTACAATGTATACGATACCAAGGAAATGGGAGAACGAAATTATACACAATAAATTGTTTATTAACTTTAATCTTATCCTCATGTTTTCAAATATCTAATTGATGGACTTTGGTCTGCTCTTCATTCTAGTTGGTAACTGCCATTTATACTACTTATTTAACATATACCTATTTACCTAAAAAAATATGCAACTATCGATTCAATTATTCGGAAGGTTTTTAAGTGATTTATTTTCTTATCTATTCGCTTCCCTTTTTTAATATGCAAACATTAGTAGACTGCTTTATAATTAGTACTTTCGCTGCATGAAGCTTTAGTAAACGTACCAGATTTTAAACGATTTTATTTAGCTCGACCCGTACGGAATTTGTTTATTTGGGTCAAAATAAGAAATTGAAATTTAAGCACCTTCCCGTTGTCAGATTGATCTGAAATTTGGTACACACGTTTAATTTAGATGGCAATACAATATTGTAGTTTTCAGTGCACATAAAATAAAACCGTTTAACTTTAAAGTTTTTAAACGGTTTCATTTATGAATATTTTTAAGCACTTTAAAAAGGGCTGTTTCGTGTGCTTGTAAATTGCTTTCTTTTTATCCTTGCTCCG